CCTCATCTATCCAAAGAGAATAATATTAGGACTAATGTCTTAGGATCCTTGCAACAAGTGTGATATTAAGTGGAACAGAGTTTTCACTCAACACACGTTTACTTCTGTTATTCTATCCATCAGTTACAAGTGACTCCTAAGTGATTTTACTACCTTACTCCCATGATCATGTCTATAAGCCTCTGCCTGATTTGATTCTGTATCCCAATGCTTTTGATTTGTTCCAGTATATCTACACTCTCTTGAATAAAACTTAGTACCTTCTTAAAAAATAGAAAAGAATGTAATCTTCCAAAACAAAGACAAGGAACAAAAGAATTTTTTCTCTAACTCCAACTCACTTTGAGGTTGGAAGTGGAAAACAATGAAATGATTTCTTTAATAAATAACAAACCGTTTTGTCTTTTTAGAGTCACTTCCTTCCTTACAGCTTCCTTATAGCTCCCAATGAGTCTCAGGTGTAGCTCTCATAACAGCAGAAGGTAGAATAAGATCACTGGGAACGAGAGTAAGTTAAGGGAGAAAAAATATAGGCATAGTCCTCCACTTCATCTTTAAAACAGATACAATCTCCAAAAATATGAAATCCCCCAAACATTTCCATGACAACTAAATTTACAGACATAATTAGCCTATATATAATCATTATTCATTATTATGTATCATAATCAGAGTACAACTCTTGCCAAGCTAATGTGTCCTCACTTAGAGAAAGAACTAACAATGAACAAAGAGGTTGACTATTAGTCTCAGATTTGACGATATGATTAATGTAAAGAAACCAGTGAGCTCTCTCAGGCCTAAACACATTGATCCCTGGAAGATCCATTTATTTTTTTATCCTTACTGATTTAAGGAAAGAAAACAAAACAAGCAAACCACCACCAAAAAAAAAAAAAAAAAAAAAAAAAAAACAGTCAAAAAACAAAAGCAAAAGACCCTAGAAGTCTTGCCCAGAATTTTCCTGTTTTTCTCTGAAAAGGGACAGTTTGGGTGAACCAAAGTACATTTACACAAGAAATAAACATACAGGAAATGTGTAATTAGTTTGTGATTTTATAATTAGTGTGTTTATGATATTTTCCCTCTGAAGGAGGGAAAATTAATAGACTTACAAGGCTAGAAATTTGTTTGAGTTATTTTTGAACTATTATTTTAAGAGTCTAAAAGAGGCTTTAGGGTTCATCTAAAAGTGGTACCATCTGTTCTTATTATGATCTCTCTCCACTGAAGACTATATTGTTTTATATAAAAGTACAATCTTGTCAGAGAATGAGTTACAAAATGTTAATTTCCAATCTAGCTCTCATTTTACTATGTAATTCTATCTTTAAGCCAAATATATAACAAACAAATTACTTCACAAAATGAAAAGATTGCCTTATCAAATTACTATTTTATGAGCATGAAAAGGAAGAGCAGACTACATTTGTTTTGTTGAATATTTTTTAAGATAGATGCATCTGTAAACTTCTTTGGAAAGGTGAAAAACATTGTTATCCACCCATCATCTAAATATGTACTTACTTCTTCTTACTGCAGCGTTTTCAATTTCATGACTATAAAATAGCTTTCACTCTTGATTTTTAGAAGCTTTAGTTCTGCCACCTGAAAAAATATTTATTCATTCATCCATCTATTTTTTGATTAATTCTGAAATATAATTTTATCACCAGTGGTACTATATGCTAGGTATCAGCATGGTCATGTGAACAAGCTGATTATCCATTATAACAGCCAGTCTTGTACCAATTTCTTTAACTTTCTTGTCTCTCTATCTAGATCTTGTCCTCACAGATATTAGTATGCCTGGTCTGTTCTTGTCATAGAGTTCTCAGTTGAAATTTCATCTCCCCAAGGTATATCATTGGTCATAATATCAAAGGTGGTACATTCTCATTCTGTCATCTTACTTTAACTTATTGATTTTACTAATGGAATTACCATCAGAATCTATAATATTCTTTTATTTGTTTATATAATTATTGTCCATATCTGTGAGCAAAAATATAAGTTCCATGAGAGCAAGAGGCCTAGCGTATATTGATTAGTGCTTGGTCTCCAACACCTTGAAGAAAAAAAAAGTAGTGGGTAAATAAATAAATCCTAGTTGGAAATAGATATAGACATTTATCAAATGATAATAGATAAATTAAAAACTCAACAATATTAAGTTCTATAAGAGAGTTGAAAATGGTTTTGTGAGTGTGTGTTGTAGGAAAGTTTAACCATGTCAAAGCCAATTTGAAAAATAGTGAATTAACCTAGGAGTATGAAGGACTCTACCCTTATCTAAAAAGCCCAAGAAAAGACTAGTTGAAACATACATTGTTGAGCCAAAAAGTTACTTTGGTTACAGTGCGAAACTAGGTTAGGATGAGGATGAGTTTCTGGAGACTGACCTATATACAAAAGATCAGAGGATAGCAGTGCAAAAGGAGATCAGAAGAACAAATTTGACAAGGATTTAGAGGATAAAAATCACCTCGACTTGGCCATGCATTGTATATGAAGACAAGAGGATGCAACATACAACTCATCATTCCTAAACAACTGCATGGATGGTGGTGACACTCAGTGAAGTGGAAGACTCTGGAAAAAGACAAAATTTAGTGCGTGAACAGATATGCTGTGCTGAGGTGGAGGCATCCTTGAGATATCTGAGTGGTGATTTTGAATCAGCAGTTGAGTACATACAACTCCAGTTCAAAGGGAATGTCGGAACTGGAGAGCTGGACTTTGGAATTACCTATAATGGAAATCACAAATGAGGGTGATATCATCTGGAAAAAATGAGTGATTTTATTTCCTTTCTTATCCAATTTAGATGGCATTCTCTGCCATTATAACCATTCTTGTACTTTTTAAAAAAAACTTTCGGCCGGGCGCGGTGGCTCAAGCCTGTAATCCCAGTACTTAGGGAGGCCAAGGCGGGTGGATCACGAGGTCAAGAGATCGAAACCATCCTGGTCAACATGGTGAAACCCCGTCTCTACTAAAAATACAAAAAATTAGCTGGGCATGGTGGTGCGTGCCTGTAATCCCAGCTACTCAGGAGGCTGAGGCAGGAGAATTGCCTGAACCCAGGAGGCGGAGGTTGCGGTGAGCCGAGATCGCGCCATTGCACTCCAGCCTGGGTAACAAGAGTGAAACTCCGTCTCAAAAAAAAAAAAAATAAAAAAAAAAATAAAAAAAAAAAAAATAAAAAAAATAAAAAAAAAACTTTCTTGCCTCTCTTTCTGTGATGCCTACAGAGGGAATTCTGAACAAATTCATCTGTTTCCCTTCTTCCCTCCTAAATAATGCTGCAGAAAACCAACAACCTTGCAGATTGGACTTTCCTTTCCCAGTGTGGAAGGCTGGTCACGATGCTCTGGGTCTATGGGCTTTGGCTCTCACAGAAACATTGACGAAATCATTTTTGCTTATGATGCTTCATTTAAAAAGGCCTCTTTTGAAAACATAGACCCGGTTTGAGTGCCTGAACTCTGTTTTTCCTTAGAGCAACAGTTTTCTCTCTTTTTTTTTTTTTTTTTTTTTGTTTGTTTGTTTGTTTGTTTGAGACAGAGTTTCACTCTTGTTACCCAGGCTGGAGTGCAATGGCGCAATCTCGGCTCACCGCGACCTCCGCCTCCTGGGTTCAGGCAATTCTCTTGCCTCAGCCTCCTGAGTAGCTGGGATTACAGGCATGTGCCACCATGCCCAGCTAATTTTTGTATTTTTAGTAGAGATGGGGTTTTCCTCTGGTCATTCAGGTAGATCAGGTTGTCAACTGCAAATACCCTTTTCCCAAAGTATAAACAGTACATCTTCATATTTATCTGTACTCAAAAGAGGAGAAATATTTCTTAAGAATTATATGTAAAGAGGTATTCTCACCTGCCATAAACAGATTTAAGTATGTCATATTATTGCAAAAAGTCAATTTTTTTTTGTTTCTTATGGAAAAGTTAGAGACAGTTGAAAAAATAAAGCTTCAAGTGGGGCCCAAATTTTGGGTGGTAGCCCAGAATGGCAGAGGAGGCAGGTTTGGAAACACAGCAGGCAGAGATACAGGTAATCATCATCAGAATATGCAAGTGCAGATTTACCCTGAAGCTAATGATGCTTAAAATTTGGAACCCTCTTATCTGACTGCTGAGAGTGCAGGGAGTTTCTGGAAATTGTGGAAGGTTCTAGGTAGACAGAGTAAACAACTTTGGAAGCAACTCTGATAAATAGCCTTGAAATATCTGGGATGAAACTAATCTCCAACTTTAAAAAATCAAAAACATGATACAGGATTGAAAGAAAAAAATCTTGAGTGAAATAGCAGAAGTAAAAGACAACCACAACTTCTGGGAATCAAGAATACACTTAAAGAAATATAAAATGCACTATAAAGTCTCAGCAATAGAATCAAACAAGCAGAAGAAAGAACTTCAGAGCTCAAAGAGAAGACTTTCAAATTAACCCAATCTATCAAAAACATAGAAAAAAACATTTTTTTTTAATGAACAAAGCCCCTAAGAAGTTTGGAACTATGTTAAGTCTCCAAACCTAAGAATAATTGGTTTTCCCAAGGAGAAAGAGAAATCTAAGTTTGGAAAACATATTTGAGGGAATAATCAAGGAAAACTTCCCTGACTTTGCTAGAGATCTAGACACCAAAATACAAGAAACTCAAAGAACACCTGGGAGATTCATCACAAAAAGATCATCACCTAGGCACATAGTCATCAGACATTGGGTTATCTAAAGTAAAGGGCGGGGATGGGGGTGACTTGGGGGTGGGGTGGGGGGAAGTATCTTAAGAGCTGTGAGGCAAAAGCATCAGGTAACATATAGAAACAAACAAACAAACACCCTATCAGAGTAACAACAGATTTGTCAGCAGTAACCAAACTAGAAGGGGTTGGGGTCCTATTTTTAGCCTTCTTAAACAAAATAATTTCAGCCAAGAATTTTGTATCCAGTGAAAGTAAACTTCATAAGTGAAGGAAAGATACAGTCTTCCAGACAAATAAATGCTGAGAAAATTTACGACTACCAAGCTAGAACTACAAGAACCACTAAAAGGAACTCTAAACCTTAAAACAAATCCTCAGGATACACCAAAATAGAACCTCCATAAAGCATAAATCTCAGAGGACCTATGTAACAATAACACAATTTTTAAAAAAAAGGTATTCAGACAACAAATAGCACAATAAATAGAATGGTACCTCACATCTCAATACTAACATTGAATGTAAATGGCCTAAATGCCCCACTTAAAAAATAAAGAATGGCAGAATGAATAAGAATTCACCAACCAAATTTCTGCTGTCTTCAGGAGACTCACCTAACACAAGGACTCACATAAACTTAAGGTAAAGGGGTGGACAAAGATATTCCATGCAAATGGACACCAAAAGCAAACAGGAGCAGCTATTCTTACATCGGACAAAAAACAAACTTAAAAACAACAGAAGTTTAAAAAGACAAAGAGGGACATTACATAATGATCAAAGGACTATCCAAGAGAAAAATATCACAATTCTAAATATGTATGCACCTAACACTAGAGCTCCCAAATTTATAAACAATTACTACTACACCTAATAAATGATAGATGGTAACACAATAACAGTGGGGGATTTTAATACAATCATCCCTTGGTATCCATGAAGGATGGTTTGCAGTACCTCCCTCAGATACCAAAATTTGTGAATGCACAAATCACCAACATAAAATGATGTAGTATTGGCATACAGGATGCACAACCTCCCATATACTTTAAATCACTTCTAGATTCCTTATAATAACTAACACAATGTGAAAGCTATATAAATAGTTGTATACTATATTGTTTGGGGAATCATGACAAGAAAAAGTCTACATATTCAGTACAGATGCAATTTAAAAAATATTTTCAATATGAGATTGGTTGAATCCATGGCTACAGAACACACAGATAATGCAGGAACAGCTGTATTCTCTTCTGTGTTGCTCTTATATTGCTCTCCACTTTAATTTCATTCCCACAATGACTGGATATTACTTATGATATATTTCTTAATTATTTTTTGTTTTCAAAAAGTTACCTTTTAATTTATTTGTATTTCTTAATTATGATCATATATAAATTAGATCAACATTATGTCCATTATTTGTAGTCCATAAATGTCTCTGTATATCTCTTTATTGATATTTTCTATGCATTCATATGCATAATGAAATTTGTTGAATACATGATTAAGTTACCTTATATTTTATCTATTTTTTGCTTATGATATCTATCTAATCTTAAAAGAAATATATTAAAATCTTTTAATTTTTAAGGTTTTTATTACATTATTAGTAGTATGGGCTTTGAATATTTTCAACTGTTATTTATTTTGGTGCTTAGGAATTTTTTATTATAATATTTCTCTCTTAAATTGGAGTTCTTTATTAAATTCTGCACCTCAATGTTCTTTATTGCCATTAACCTAAAATTCAACTCTACATTATTTATATTGCCACTTTCATTTTGCTTTCCTTGTCTGGTCTCTCTTTGATCATATCTTCAGTTTCAATCTTTTATAACGTGCAGTTTTAAGTGTTTCTTAAAAACAGGGAAGAGCTAGGTTTGAAGTTTTTTTTTTGTTTGTTTTTTGTTTTTTGTTTTTTTTTTGAGACGGAGTTTCACTCATGTTACCCAGGCTGGAGTGCAATGGTGCGATCTCGGCTCACCGCAACCTCCGCCTCCTGGGTTCAGGCAATTCTCCTGCCTCAACCTCCTGAGTAGCTGGGACTACAGGCATGCACCACCATGCCCAGCTAATGTTTTATATATTTAGTAGAGACGGGGTTTCACCACGTTGACCAGGATGGTCTCGATCCACCCGCCTCGGCCTCCCAAAGTGCTGGGATTACAGGCTTGAGCCACTGCGCCTGGCCTGAAGTTTTATTCCAATCTTGAAATCACTGTTTTTTAGAACCATTGAGCATGTTCCCATTTAATGTAGAAACTTACTTATTTCATTATATTTTTTTGTCCCATTAATGTGTTCAATTTATTTTGCTTTATTATTTCATCTGTTTTTATAGGTACTTATGCTATTTTACCCCTTCCTAACTTGGATGTTTGTATATGTAGTCACCTTTCCTTTCCCCAAATTCATGTATTTCCCTCATCAAGAGGCTCTGCTTTCTTAATGCACAGCCTCTTGAAAATTTTAGAATACATATTCCCCCTTCTCCTCCTGTCACAAGTGTTGCTGAGTTCATTTAGGGCTGGCTTTTTTGGGTATTTAAAAAAAATTATTTTATTTTATTTTACATTCTGGGATATGTGTGCAGCATTTGCTAGTTTGTTACATAAGTGAACGTGTGGCATGGTGGTGGTGCTGCACAGACGAACCCATCACCTAAGTATTAAGCCCTACATGAGTTAGCTATTTACCCTGATGCTGTCCCTCCCCCAGCCCCTCCACCCCCAACAGACCCCAGTGTATGTTGTTCCCCTTCCTGCATCCATGTGTTCTCACTGTTGTCACTTTTGAGAACATGTGGTGTTTGGTTCTCTGTTCCTACATTAGTTTGCTGAGGACAATGGCCTCCAGCTCAGTCCATGTCCCTGCAAAGGAAATTATCTCATTCCTTTTTATGGCTGCATAGTATTCCATGGTGTATTATGTACCACATTTTCTTTATCCAATCTGTCATTGACAGGCATTTGAGTTGATTCCAAGTCCTTGCTGTTGTGAATAGTGATACAATTAATATATGCATGCATTTATCTTTATAATAGAATGATTTCTATTTCTTTGGGTATGTACCCAGTAATTGGATTGCTGGATCAAATGGTATCTCTAGTTCTAGTTATTTGGGGAATCACCACACTGTCTTCCACAATGACTGAACTAATCTACATTCCCACCAACAGTGTAAAAGTGTTCCTATTTCTCCACGGCCTCACTAGCATCTATTGTTTCTTGACTTTTAATTCCAGTTTTCTCCTTGCAGTGCCTGCCTTCTATGTCAATCTTTATCCCTTAACTTCCACATTCACACTTAGTCTATCATTTTTTTTTTACAATTAACTCTATATATTACAAGATTTTTTTGCTTACCATGGTCTCCTTTTCACTTCATCTTCTGCTATTTGATGTTCCTGTTCTGATTCATTTGGTTTGAAGAGTTCTTTTCTAATATTTTACTTAAAAGTGTTCCTTGCCTAGCCTCAATTTTTTTCCCCATGATGATGATAAATGATACTCTGGAAGCATAGAGAGTCTTTGCATTGTCATTATGGCAGTAGTCTGCATTACACTATCTCCTAGCTTGGTAAGTCCAAAGCCACCAGTTATGCTCCTGTGACTCTATCTCATACAAATAAAAACACCAGTTGATAAATACATATGTATAAATACATCTACTGTGGAATCAGTCATAGAAGTAAGAAGCAACTGCTGGTAAAAATTGTATAGAATAATAACTGATTTAGTAAACTATTATGGCACAGGTGTACTTTGAATATTATTTGGAATTTTTAAAGAATGAATTAAGGCTCTATTAGTGCACTTGAAAGAATTTATGTGAGTATGGGTTAAATTTTTGAAGCCAGAGAAGAGAAGTAATATGGGATCACCTTTGCATAACAATGACAGCAAAGTCTTATATATGACTGTGTGTTTTGTGATTCAATTGTTAAATAAACATAGAGAAGAGTATGGGAAAATGTACAAAAGGTTATTGATATTGCATAGATGAGTTAAGGGGAATTTGGAAAAGAGAAGGAAAGTTTTATTAAGTAAAAGAATAAAAGGTGTGATAAAAGCAGTGAATGAGGTATGATTGTGCATATGTAAATATTCATGTGTCAGTATGTGGGTGCCTGGATGTTTGTTTATATATTTGAAGGGAGAATCACCAAACCATTCATGGTGGTTTCCACAGGGCATTGAGATTTAAGGTGGTCTTCATTCTCTTCCTTATAATGGTATATTCTGTTTGGTATATACATTGAGAATTATGTATTAGTCAAACTAGTAAAGGAAAGCTGCTTTCATTTTGTTAAATAAAGAAAAAAATCACAAAAAATAGTGAAAACATCTTATACATACATATTGATCACGGTATTTATATAAATGCAACACATATGATCATAAAAAGTATAACACTGAATTAATATAGTCATCCATCCATCTATCCATCCAGAAAATAATTCCAATGGACAATCAGGAATAAATAATAGAATGAATAATTTATATAGTATCACAACCACAAAGTTAGATATCTATACAATGTATACATTTTTGATATTTTGTGAATCTATTGGTTTACTCAAATATTATTAATAAAGCATATGCTATGTTTTATATGAACAAAAATATTTATCAGAATTTTTTATGAGTATATTTCTTCTGTTTTAATCTATTCCTATTTAAATATCCCATAATTACCCTCTTCAAATATTTGGGCTACACTCACAAAAGGCAGAATCCTGCAATTATAATTTAACACAGACCCTTAATATTTATAGTTTTATATGTCTTTGCTTTCATTTTCTAGAATAATGGCTGCTTATATTCTACAGTAATAAATCTAGCTTGGGCATGCTTTTCTTTAGGTGGTAACCTGAACTTCATTTTACAGTAGACAGATAGATTTGTAAATTCTAGAGGAGAGAACACTCAATGTTGCTGGATTGGAGTGAACAACAGAAAAGGTAACAGGATATGAAGCAGAGAAAAAAATAGGAATTTTAATCATAGAAGACCTTTAAGGTAATTTTCAGGACTTTGTTTTTTACTTGATTAGAATGAGGCATCATCACAGCATTTTGCATAGAATAGTGACATGATCTGACATAGATTTTAAAGGATCACTACTCTGTGTAGTAAAAAGTGTAGAAGGCAAAGATAGGAGCAGGGAGAATATTTGTGAGACTCTGACAATGATCCAAGTAATAACTAATAGTGGCTATACCAGTGTGGCAGCAGAGGAGGTAGTGAGAAGTAGCTGGAGACTGGATTGACTTTGAAAGGATATATGAATGGAATTCCTAAGAGGTTTAATCTGAGATTGAAAGATGGTGGGAAAAGCAAGATTGTCTTGGAGAATGAGTAATCAGGATTTGTTCATGACTTGTTTGGGACTTGTTGTGTTTAAGATATATATTACTTTTGAAATTTAAGACACATAAGACTTTTAAGATATATATATATATATATATATATGACTTATGCATAAGTGTTTTTAAT